CCGAGACGGTGACATCGTTTAGGAGATTGGCGCATTCGCAGACCAAAATGTACATTTTGTCACCTTTGGGACTCAGCGACTTATGTAGCGAGATCCTCTTAAGACCTGCGTGAGCTGGTAGGTATCTGTATATCATCCGAGCACCCGTCCAATACAACCAATTCCTCTCGAACTTCTCGCGATCGTCACCTTCGAACACCTTGTAGACGCTGACCATGTAACCGGTGGAAGGTGTATTTGTAGAACATCACAGGATTTGTTTGCGAACTGTTTATCACATAATAGGTGATGAAGGGGAACTCCGCTGCAATAAGTTAAATTAATTAAGTGCCTTGTTAGGAAGTTTGCTGTAGCAGTTACAATTCCTCTCCATATTAGCTAGAAGCATTCCGGTGACTGCAGTCTTGGCTTGAGCTACTTCCGTCACCAATTCACCGGCGGCGACGCGTTGTTTGAAGAGAGGCTGGTTGAGCGGCGACTCCAGGACCGGATCGATCGGTTCCAATGGGCTCATCAGGTGGCAGAGTATGCACAGCTTCGGATCAGGTACCTGAAACCACAATCAATGAAGATTAAAGAAACAATGAATCATCAAATTTACCTCCATCACGTGCAGACCGTCTTGCGCCTTCTTCACCAGTGGTCCCGTCGGCGTGGCCGGCTTCTGCGAACAGAAATGTGCCACTTGCTGTTGCTACTTTTTGAAAGCCATTAACGTTGTGGTTTTACCTACTGGCATTGGTACGCCCGCCGGAAGGAACCTCTCCAGACTGTGGACTGGGATTATGAAGCAGTCCCGGTCCAAATCGCACAGATTCCTATTCACGATCTCGTTCCCCTGGCTATCTAAACCACTATTGAAACTAACCTGTAACCCAGAGGACAAAAATATGATGAGAACAACTCTTAAACTATTGGTAACTTTATGGTACTTGTCTGGTCGGGGTTGTATTCTTGTTGGGGGTCGTGGGCCACTTGAGCAACGTCTCGGATGGATTCCTGATCACCAGGGGTTGCGGTAAATCGGCCTCCGTCATCGGTGGAGACGACGTAGTCGACTGCATCGCTATATGGTTACTACCTGTCCCAGTCATTGGGCCGCATCTCGGCTCTATAAATTGCAGAGGGAAAGCCACGAATTAATTCACTAATTAATTAATAGCTCGTTCAAGAAATTCGGGATGCGTTTCGGCCAAACTTTTGGCACGCGCCGTTCTCATTACTTTTTATTTTTTCATGAATCTCTCATAGATTTATGTTCGGCAATATCCAACTAATAGCGTCGTAAAATCCTGCACTGAATTCCAAATTTACATAACGACTATTATTATTATTGCATTCGATCGGCGACCATTTTGCAGCAACCGACTCACCAGCTGGAGTAACCTGGATGAGAATCGACATATCCTTGCGTCTTCCAACTTCATCAATGGCAGAAGCGGAAAAACATGAAGGAGTTTCAATTTGATTTTTCGTGACATATTTTTTTTTTAGAAAGCGCACCTATCTTATTAATGACCCTCTTAAATATGGTATCCAACAGATACTTGACATCGAAATTTAGGACCGCAGTCGATGACATATTTACTGGACCGAAAGTTGTGGATGACTGAAATTACAACTGTCTGGGAGTCGCGGGATATGCGGAAATACAACGACTAATTGCTAAATCGATGTTCGAATATAATGAACCTCAACAATACTTATGGCAAATTCAGAAATAGTAACAATTGTTAGTTCTTTTCTTATACACGTACATTTTCTTTTGTATATGTTCAACTGTAAGATATTTTCATCAAGGGCAATGTGATTAATTTAGGTTGTTGAACTTTAAATCAGTCATGAGTAACGATTGCGTGACCATTGGCTATTTACCTAGAAGATATTGTACGCATATTATTTCTATTTTTGTTAGTAGTACAAAGTTGAAGACGACTTCTGAAAATTGACATACGTATAAACATATAAGTTATGTACGAAAAATAAAGTAAATAATTTAAGAAATACTAAAAACCTCTATATTTATTTGTATCTTTTACTATAATTTCGAAAAGTCATTATTGAGTACCTGTGGGAGGCGATAAAGAAGTATTTAATTCGTCTCTATATTTTTCAAAACCAATGCGTTGATACCATGATTTGCATTAAATGATTTTATATTATTATCCAATTCAATTCTACCATACTTTCTGTTTTATCACTTGTGGATGACAGTTTTAATCGTTTACTTCAAAACTTTCACTTTAACTAATTGTATTTTCGTTAAAAAAATACTTACAAGCATACAGTCAGAATTATTTTTTTTACAATTTTACAGATTTAAAATTGTACTAGTTACTTTTACCGCGTAATTAATTGAAAATTCTAAAATAAACTTTAGACGTCTGGGACAGACGTATGTCAAAGGGTTAACATCATCCGGCGTTCTTTTGTTTTCATTTCATTTATTTTGTTAAGGCAGCGATTTTCAAACGGCGTTTTTAATTACAAAGTGTAATGCGAAAACATAATTAATTAAATTATTTTCTAATTAAGTGCCGCGAAAGTTTAACTATAGATTCAATTGTACCGCGGAAATTTAAGTATAGGTTTATTGGGACAAGAATAGTTGTATAATGAATTGATTACTGTTTGTTTTTGAAATAATTCATCAATATTGAAAAATATTTATTTTGTATTCACAGATTTTCAATATATTTTGATGGAAGTAGAAATATATTGATTAATTTATAATAATTGATGAATATTTACATTTAGTTCCGTTTATTTTTTTTTAGCAATAATTGTAATTAAGTAATTATCTGAATTTTATGGATAATTTTTTAAATTAACAATATTACTTTCTACTTCAATTGAAATGAACTTTAAAATAATTTTTGTATACAAATTCATATTTCCCGTTGTAATACTAATCTTAGTTTGTTACACTAAATAAAAAAAAACAAACAGACAAGCTTCGGGATAATCTATGATCTAATTGAAATTAGTGCCTAGCATTTACGTTACGTGCTCTCTATTTTATGACTAATATTATGACCTGGTCGCATTCGACGTGAAAACTTTACTCCGATATTAAAGCAAAATGTATTTCTGCAGTCAATATTTGCACTCGCGAAAATACACATTACAATCATGTGCCACACTGCTGTAGTTTCTTGCACAAAATATGTGTATACTGTACAGTGTATGTTGCCTTTATTGATCAAACATTTCCTAATACTTCTTTATACTTATATATACGGCAAGGCATCTAATTGATTCTGCACTTTAGTACACTTTACAATATTACAGTAAATATGAACAATAAGTTCTTATTTGTATTGAATTCTATAAAATTATTTATAAAGTTTATTACGATTAGAAAATATTCTAAGCACAAATAAAAACGAACTACACCAGTGTTTTTTAACTTCTATATT